TGCACTTAGTTTTTACTCAGATCGATGAAATGATTTCGCGAATTGGACTACGCATACATGTGATACTTATGCTTTTAATTTATAAGGTAATTTTTTGTTTTTATACTCTTGCTACCACATGAATATATGAATTCGTGATAAGAATATATGAATTCGCCTTGGAAGATAGAAAGCGAGTAAGAAAAAATGCCGAACAAAGGAATTTGTCTTCTGTCAACTTAAATAAATGCATTTTGCAAACAAAAGTGCGTACGTTACCTAGGGCCTTGGTAATGGCGAATTCGTAAGGTATTGATTGCATTATCAACATTTTCATTTATTTGTTAAACATACAATTACTTCCATTACAACCCGGTCCTATGGATGCTAGAAGCGCGAATTCATATAAGGCGGTGTTACCCGAAAATGAATAAATAAATTATATATATATCAGAAAATTAATAACATGAAATGAAATTATTGTTTGATTTCTAACCAAACCTATGTATGTAACTCAATCGCCTAATGGTTTGCCGAACCGTAAACATATCGAGCCCTAACCGCCAAAATAACGTAAGCGACATTTTTTCAAAATTTTCTTTTTGATGCAGAAATATTCCTGGAGCATCGAGATGCATTTCTACATCAAAAATAGAATTTTGAAAAAAATGTCGCTTACGTTATTTTGGCGGTTAAGGCTCGATATGTTCACACATCCAATTTCGTGAGTAGGTACCTGGTACTCACACCTTTTTTAAGAAGTTTCACTTCTATCATGTGTACGATGTTACACACGCACACGGTTGCCACCTGTTAATAAAATTACTAAATGCAATCATAAGAAATTACTATATGCAATCGAAAAGACTTAGCCTCTACATGCGCAATAATGTATTATTTTTCTGAATAGGGGTGCCACCTATTAAAAAGTTAAAAGATTTTCGCCGTTCGTTGGATTACAAAATGAGATACCAAATGGAAGTGCAAGGCCTTAGCATGTACAAAAACTTTATTATTTTTTAAGTAGGGTTGCCACCTATTTAAACTTACTATCTTCTACACATAGTATAAAGGAAATTTGAGATATTTTGACCACGCCATTGAACGGATTTAGACGAAATTTTTTAAGTATAATCTGTATCGATAGGAATATTATCTTGATTACTTTGAGTTCCTATAGGGTTGCCACCTGTCCAAAAAATTATGAGACGCGCACTGTTCGTTGGATTACCAGATATGAGGTGTCAAATAAAGTGGCTCGGCTCCTAGATGTTCAATAAAGTATTACTTTTTGAGTAGGGTTGCCACCTATTTAAAAATTACTATTTCATTCGAACAAGGTATGAATACAAAAAGTGAGATCTGAAGTGAAAAGGCTTGGCCCTCAGATGTTCAATAATCTATTATTTTTTGAGTAGGGTTGCCATCTTTCTAAAAAAATAAGATTTTCAAAGTTCATTGGACTAAAAATTGAGGTATCAAGTGAAAGAATATGGTCTCCGGATAAGCTTTTATTTTTTTAATGGGGTTGCCTCCTATTTAAAAACTAATACCTAACATCTAATACCTGAAGACGATCTTTCTGCAAAATAGTTTCTTTTTTTTGTTAGGTGCTGTATTCAGAAAAGGGTAAGGAGCTGATGCTTGACCTATAAATTATAGTTGCGATACAAAAAATCGTCAAATAAACAATTGAGTATTATTATTGGGAGTCCGCTGCAGAGAAACAGAGATATCCGATAGAAAAATATTGATTTTTAAGAATTCTATACCATTTCTACGAAAAGTTGTTTTTCCCCATACAAAATACATAGAAAACTTTGGGCGCTTTGCGCGACTTCTAAATATTTTTTGATTTTAAAATAGAAAATAGGGGTATATTTTTTCGGTATAGAACAATCCTAGGGGGGCGAGCATAAAAATTCCGACTTTACTTTTTCACGTGTATTTTTGGACCTTCCTAATGTACGTAGGCTACATTTGTTGGGATTTCAGTGAGAGACGGAGTTTATAAATCAGCTGTGCCTACTTTGATGTTTTTATTTCATTAGGTTCACGTACATATGTACAAGTACTTTAGTATCTACATACGTATATATGTATGTACATACACCAACTGTTCTTAAGTGTTCAGTCAACAATATTTGAAACACAACATTCAAATAAAATAAGCTTACTTCGATGTTTTTGTTTAGTTTCTTCGCGTATTTCTTTCCTCTTCTCTCCCTTGCTAATTTGAATATATCGTCGTTTAAAGTGCAAAACCGTGTATCAACAAAATGCGAAACCGCGTATGGGAAGTTGTAGAAATTACTTTCTAGAGCGTAAAAACACTCATATTTTAAAACGGTTCTCTTTTTTATAAAACAATCGCATTTCTGGCTAATATATTTCAGGACGAATGAATAAGGATTGAGCCAAGAGCTTGTGTGAGCAAATCCAATTTTTGGCAGCCAATGTCAATTACGCGGTTTTGCAGAATGACGATACGCGGTTTTGTACTTTAAACGACGATATGTATGTACATCTATACACTTAGGTCTGTTTTTATGGGGTTCTTTTTCATGCGGATTTGAATTTATGCGGTTTTTCAAAACCTTTTTTCGCTGTAGCGATTTTGCTTTTTGAGAGTTTTTATTACATTTTTCAATGTGTAAGAGACAATGCTTCTGATAAATAATTTGTCTTTGTATTCTTACATAATTCCTGTATTTTTTATGGTATTTTTTTGTTTTTGGTTAAAATACAGACACAGGGCCTGTTCGAGGCACGTAATAAAAGCGGCATTATTGCCGTATTGATTAAAATTGGCAACACTGTTACAACTGCCCAACTGATAATACGTTGCTAGAAATTCACACAGAACGTGATACTTTAATAATTCGCCCAACACTGCAGTTGTGATTGCAGCTCGAACAAGCCCATAATTTTATTTATTTCATGAACGTTTAGTTTTACAAGGAAGAACGAGTTTTGAAGTGTGAAGAAATAATTTTTTATAATTTTTTTTGCTTAATATTGCCTCTGGATGTTTTAATGCGTTTGTTTTAGAGTTTTTTACATGGAGTATCTGAATTTATGCGGTTTTTGAAAATGCTGGAACGCATCCCCTGTTTTTGTATGAAAGAAAAGAACTTTTTTATGCGGTTTTCTGAGGAACGCATGTACCGCATTAAAAAAGACCTAAGTGTACATAGTATAAAGGAAACAATTTTTGTACGCGGTAATCTCGAAAACTACTGAACGGATTTTTACGAGATTTTCTCTAATATATTCTGTATCGATAGGAGAGTGACCTTTTTAATTTAGAATTTTAATAGGGTTTCCACCTGTTAAGAAAATTACTATACTCAATTCTAATAAGCTATGAGGTGGGTGTTGGGAACCACTGGAATGTATAGGACCCGTCAGTTTGGCTTTGCGATCGTTTTCAATACTTGTCATTTACACTCAATTCTCACTCAAGCACTACATACTTGCTCACATTGCTAAGCTTGTGTATTTCTCATTTCACTCATTTTCTGTACCACTAATCTCTTTCCATAATTTACTGTAATATTTTTTTGTACATACATTTTTGGTATTTAAGAACTTTCTTAACTTATGAGAAAAAATACATTGTCGAATAAAGCATATCGTGGTCGAGACAAATCAGTCTCCAGACTCTTAACATTGGTGACCCCGACGTGATCATACCGTTGATCCGTCTTACAACAAAACTGAGAAAATAAATTTGTTGCTCGACTTTAACACCGTGTGCTTAAGTACATTCGCCTGCACCGTTGCATACACGGTCCGCTACTTTGGCCTACGTGACTTCTAATCATCGAGAAGTTTAGCTGAAAAGTCACTATATTTTACCGCTACTCCAGTGCCGTATACAGCCAGCTATTTTCTAATCACTATCAAAAGAACATTTAAAAATGCCCACGAATGAAGATTCTCAATCCGCGCGACCAGGGTGGTTCTTCAAGAGGAAAAGTGAAGCTATCTTTAGGCAAATGGAATCCGTACATCGTCTGGCTACAAACGAAGCCCTACGCTCAATGGATCAAGTAGAGCTTACCATGAAGCTGGAACTTATCGACCATATACGGAACAACTTTGAGGCTACACAAGATCGCCTGGAGGAAGAGGATCCTGACGAATTAGATAGTGACGCTCGGCAGCAGTTCTTGGACATTTTTATGTCGGTTAAAGTTGCCATCACTCGCGAGATGCAGTCCAACCGCTTAGATACTCATCCACATTCATCCACACGCAATTTTTCGCACCAGGACTCACAATCAGTGGTTGTTCTTAAACAACCAAAATCTTGCTCCCCGGAACTGAAGTTGCCAACGTTTAGGGGAACTACTCAGACTGGCCTCATTGTTTCTCCATGTTTAAGACCATAATTGATAGAGAAGCTGAATTAACGAAAGTGCAAAAACTCCAACACCTACGTTCGTGCCTTGCAGATGCTGCGCTGGATACCATAAAGTCATTAGAAATCCGTGAATCAAACTATGATAGGGCTCTCGAGTTACTAACGAACAGATTTGATAACAAGCGTTTAATCTTTCAGGCACATATCCGTGAGTTGTTTGGACTCGAAGGTGCCGAGGCAAAGGGTGCAGCGAATCTCCGGCAATTAACGGATAAGTTTTTGTCACACATTCGTGCATTGCAGACCCTCGGCAATAAAGAACAATTGGCCGATTGCTTGCTGATACACATTGCTATGCAGAAACTTTACTCCGTACGCAGAACATGTGCAAGCAGATCATCTTATTTATACTTGCCCGTCGTTTGCAAAACTCTCCCCAAATGAGCGCTGGAAAGAGGCAAAAAATTGTGAGCTTTGCCTTAACTGCCTTAAGACAGGGCATCGATTGTAACAATGCAAATCCACTTACTGTTATCGTTGTAAGGCAGCTCATCACACTCTTTTGCATAGGGACATTCCAGAGCAACCCATCCAAAATGTCTCATCTACAGAAAACTCTGCTCAAACAAGGTCAGCTGCATCTTTGGTTTCCATGGCACCTGCAAGCGTATCGAACGCACACTCAAGCGCTCAAGAAACTGTTTTAGTAAAAAATAAGGCTGGATTGTTCATCCCTTGTCGTGCTATATTAGACTCAGCTTCACAACTTAATTTTGCTACAAAAAGGTTGTCCAACCAACTACAGGTGAATAAATCGAAATTCCCAATAGCAGTTTCGGGAATTGGTGACTCAGGTATAACAGTTGATTACACCATCGATGTTACCTTTAAATCTATCCACAGCGATTACACGAACACTATTACGGCATCTGTTATTCCAATCATTACTGAACGGCAGCCAAACACAACTTTCAGCACCTCGCAATGGAAAATACCTGATAATATCAAATTTGCCGATCCGTCATTCAATACTTCTCGTCGAATTGACCTCTTAATTGGAGCCAGCATATTTTTTGATTTGTTGTGTGTTGGCCAATTACGTCTTAAGGAACCAACATACATTTTGCAAAAGACACGTCTTGGCTGGATCGTCTCTGGTGGTAAACAAGGCTCCATCATGAACTCGTTGTGTGCAGTGGCATCAAAGCTCGTCGAAGGAAACGAACCGCATGAATCTCTTGATCAACTGGTGCGCGGTTTTTGGGAGACGGAAAATTGTCTGGAAGGAACTACGAAGGTAACGAAAGAAGAATTTAATTGTGAAATGCACTTCCAGGCAAACTATTGTCGTTTGGGTACTGGTGAGTATTCAGTCCGCCTTGCGACGACTGATCTCTCTGGAACGACGTCTGCAACGACACGACAACGTTAGATTGCACTAACACGCACATGTCCCTTGTGGTCGATCCTCCCGATGTGCCAACATATTATATCCCGCATCACTGCGTTTTCAAAGAAGATAGCACAACAACCAAACTACGCGTAGTCTTCGACGGCTCGGCTCGTACAACAAGTGGCTACTTTCTGAGTCAACTTCTCATGGCAGGCCCAACGATTCAACCAAAACTTGCAGAAACTTTAATTCGCTTTAGGTCAAATCCCATCGCATTAAAAGGTGATATATGCAAAATGTACCGCTGTGTACGCATGTCCTCACCAGATTACTACCTTCAGTGCATACTTTGGAGGGAAAATCCTCTGGAGGATGCTAAAGCTTACAAATTAGAGACTGTCAAGTATGGCACACGACCTGCGTCATTCTTAGCTATTAGAGCTATGCATCAGCTGGCTAAAGATGAAGCCGAGTCATACCCTCTTGGTTCTCAGGTAGTTCTGCGAGATTTTTATGTCGATGACATGATCACTGGTGCCGATACTGCTGAGGAGGCAATTGAAATAATGTAACAAACTTCGCAGCTACTTGTCAAGGGTAACTTTAAACCACGAAAGTGGTGTTCCAATGATCAAGCGGTGTTAGCGCAGATTCCTCTGGCTGATAGAGAAAAACTTCTGAAATTCGACGACGGCAGCAGCATAACAAAGGCTCTTGGGTTGCAATGGAACACCGATCGAGATTTTTTCTTTGCATTCACTCCATTTCAGAAATCAGGGAGAATAACAAACCGCTCTGCACTTTTCATTATTGCACGTTTGTATGATCCGCTCGGCCTGATCGGACCGTTCGTATTAAAGGGAAAAATATTTCTTCAGCGTTCGTGGATGGAAAAACTTGACTGGGACGAAAGTCTGCCGATGTCACATGAAACAAGTTGGGATAATCTATACAGTCAGTTCGATAGTGTCAAGCATTTACAATTTCCCCGTTTCATTGCTAAGCGTAATACATCGTTGGAACTGCACGCCTTTTGTGACGCTAGTTTGTCTGCTTATGGTGTTTGTGTTTATATACGTGTTGGCAATGGTGAGAGCGTACATACAAACTTACTGTGTTCAAAGTCCCGTGTGGCTCCAATCAAATGTCTCACTGTGCCGAAGCTTGAGCTATGTGCAGCCTATTTGTTTTTTGCTATCGGCATGTTCTGCTGCTGATATTTCAGTAAACTGCAAATACATAAACTCGTTTTCATCCCTGCAACGCATCTACGGTTACGCCTATATGGTTTTTAAGAAGGATAGCTCTGGTCAATTAACACCTAATCGCATTCAGAATGGAACACACATCTTAATTCGCGTGATACAAATGGTACACTTTTCAGCTGAGTATAATTCACTTCAAAAGAAAGAAGCAGTTTCCTCCAAAAGTGCATTGTTTTCTTTATCACCCTTTCTGGATACATTTGGTCTTCTAAGAGTTGGTGGCCGCCTCAAAAACACAATTTTAGATTTTCAGTCCCGACATCCCATTATCATGCCAAAACGTCATCCACTTACAATTTCTATGATTAATCATTTTCACCTTAAATATTTGCACGTAGGTCCTCAGGCACTGCTTGCAACAATACGGTTACAATACTGGCCAATAAGAGGTCGGAAAACGGTGGCACAGGTCGTCAACAAATGCATCATATGCTTTCGTGCCAAACCCAGATTGATGGAGCAAATAATGGCAGATTTACCTGTGGAACGAGTACAAGCGGATAGATGATTTTTTACTACAGGAATCGATTTTTGTGGTCCGTTCTACTATCAGTCGGAAATTCGGAATACATAACCGCTGAAGTGCTACATCGCCTTGTTTATTTGCTTTGCCACGAAGGCAGTTCATCTTGAACTTGTCAAAGACCTGTCGACACCTGCCTTCTTGGCTGCATTGCAAAGGTTTATCAGTACACGAGGTAAACCTAAAACAATTAGGACTGACAACGCAACAAACTTTGTTGGAGCCAAAAACGAGTTGCTGGAACTAAGGCGATTATTTTTGAGTAGCGAGCATCAGGACAAAGTCCGAAAACAATGTGCCGAAGATGGTATCGAATGGAAGTTTATACCGCCCAGATCTCCCCATTTTGGAGGACTCTGGGAAGCTGCTATTAAATCAGCGAAATTTTATTTCTATAGGGTCGTAGGTTCTTCGAGGTTGTCTTTCGAAGAACACCGCACGCTTGTCTGCCAAATCCCGGCAATTATTAATTCTCGACCTCTTACTCCACTTACAGAGCATCGTGATGATCTTGCAGTCCTCACACCCGGACACATTTTGATTGGCGGCCCTTTCACAGCTACAGTTGATGCAGACATCACAGATTTAAACATTAATAGACTCAATCGTTGGCAGAGTATATCTTACATGCAACAAATTTTCTGGAAGAGTGGCGTACCCAAAAGGAAAATCTTAAGTCTGGTGCTTTAGTACTCATCAAAGATGAAAATCTACCGCCGCTTCGCTGGCCGTTGGCACGAGTCATCGACATAATTCTTGGACCTGATGGTGTACCGCGCGTAGCAAAGCTGCAAACAAGTTCAGGAGTCACGAAAAGAGCTATCGCTAAACTATGCTTGCTGCCACTAGAGGATCATCTTGAAAGCTTAAACTTTCAACGGGCGGAGGATGTTGGGAACCACTGAAATGTATAAGACCCAGCAGTTTGTCTTTGCGATCGTTTTCAATACTTGTAATTTACACTCAATTCTCACTCAAGCACTACATGCTTGCTCACATTGCTAAGCTTGTGTATTTCTCATTTCACTCATTTTCTGTACCACTAATCTCTTTCCATAATTTACTGTAATATTTTTTTGTACATACATTTTTGGTATTTAAGAACTTTCTTAACTTATGTATAACTACTTAGAAAAAATACATTGTCGAATAAAGCATATCGTGGTCGAGACAAATCAGTCTCCAGACTCTTAACAACGGGTTTTACCGAAGCCGCTCCATGGTTGGGCGGAGGTCCCACTAACCCCCACTGAATAAAATAAACACAGTAGTTTAATGTGGCGAACACAACCACACACACGCGGCTATTCGGCCAGAATGCCGGCACCTTGACGTCCAAGAAGAGAGAGGGAGATACTGAGAGGGAGAGAGACTAACTGGTCGACGGTCGGTGTCGTGGTTCAGAGGGCGGATACTGTCTAGTGGCTAGTGGCGGTGACGGTGAGAGCGGTGACGGTCTGGTGATTAATGATGATGACAATGAGAGCGGAGACGGTTCGGTGATTAATGATGACGACAGTGAGAGCGGTAGCGAGCGTGATGATCAGGCATGGGCAGAGAACGAGCACACGCTCAAAGAGCATAACCATCACGTGCAAGAATGATAGAATACAAGATTGCGCCGATCAGAGAGGATTTTTGAAAATGACATTTGTGTGACGTCACACTGGTGCAATTGCGAGAGAGAAATGCCAAAACGTGAGCAAGAATGGAAGAAGAAGAAAGAATGTTGCAAGGAAAACGTAAACAAGTTGCACAAGTGTGACGTCATGCAAACAACGATTCTGTCAAATTCGTTAAGAGAGGAATAGCGGTCCGAGATCGGCGCAACCTTTGTATTCTCTCAATCGTGCATCACGTGTACGTATGCAAGCAAGAGCGTAACGATGAGAACGCGGCAGCATGCAAAATGTATTAGGCACACTAACACATTCTCACTTTTAGCGATCGCTTGTTTGTGGTAGTGCACACCTCTGGTGATGTTGGTAAACGCTCACAGCACGGGTACTGCAGCCAATGAGAGCGGCGATGCTGATCGTGACGGCAGTAGTAGTCCCTTGTAGTAGTGACGGCCCGGCGGTGATGTTGACGGTGGCCCAATTAGTGGCGAGGGCGGTAGCGATCCCCCCGTAGTGAGAGTAGTATTGGCGGCCCTAGTTATAACAACGGACCCCTTTCCGTTACGACGGAGACGGCGGCCATGAACAGTGATGGTGACTGGCCGTACCTGCGGCGTCTGATGCTCGTGGCGGGGAGTAACGGTGACCCAGGGCGGTGAGAGCGTTAGTGGCCCGGCTGTTTGATGAAGATGATAACTTCGGCCCTGATTAGTAACGGAGGTGACGGCGGCCCTGGATGGCGATGATGGGAGCGGCCCTTACAGCTAGCAAGTAGCGGTCATCGGTAGCGGGCTGGCCTTGGGGCGGCAAATGGCGTCGGCGGCCCCGATGATGACGAAGGTGATAGCTCGGCCCTAATAGGTGGTGGCGGTGCCAGCGGCCCTGGATGACGATCGTAAGGCCAGCGGTCCTGAGAGGTGGCGGTGCTTGGCATCGGCTTCGGCCTAGGGGCGGCAGTGATTTCGGCGGCCCGGTGAACGCGAAGATGGTACTCGGCCCTGATAAGTAATGGCGGTGACAGCGACCCTGGTTACTGATGGCACGGTTAGCTAGCTAGTAGCGGCTCTCGGTCGTGACTTTGGCCCAGGGGCGGCAGATAGTGTTGGCGGTCCGAACGGTCACCTGCAAAAGCTACGGAAGCTGTTTAGTATGGCCCCAGGGCGGCAAGGCAGCCGTGTTTACCCGCCTCGGCACAGTGCCTGCTCGCCACGCGGTATTCTAAGAGGGTAGGAGAGTTTGTCTCCTGTCCACTGAGACCGTTGGCAAAATGATGGGTTTGGGGTCTGCGCGAGGGGTATTTCCCCTTTCACAGGCCCCTTCAACCTCTCGGCCTTTCCCATAGGAAAGCCAGGGGCACTCGGGGTTTTATGGCCTAAGCCTCCCGATGCGCTCCGACGCGCAATTTTGTGAAATCTGTTAAGTTTTCAACAGCAACTGTTTTTAAATAATAAAGCAACTTATTTTTCAAGTCTCTTATAAAGCCGATGTCTTCTGAGGTAACAGTGCATTTCTTTTGTAGACTAGCTATATAAATGTACATCAGGTGGATAATTAAATAATTTAGTAAAACTAATATATTTAAAAAAATACTTCATCAATATCCATTTTTTCAAAATTGTCGTATTCTCTACTAATTGTTTGAAGTCAATGAGTGTAATTCGATTGCTCGACTTGCTTTTCATAACAGCATTTTTCACTCGCTTGACTTGATGTGGAAAGAGTATATCAATGCCATATTTGAAATCAAATGAGTACACTGCAGCTGAACATTGATTTCAAAACTAACTATGAATCTCACTGTTTGTACGGTGTTTCTCACTAACCTTATACAGTTCACAGCAATGAGTTCATACTGTTTAGATGGAAGTGAGTAAACTCATGCTGTTGTCTGGTAGATATGTACGTATATACATATGTATGTTAGTGTAGCGTAGGGGAGCTACGTTACAAAGCGTAGGCGTCAGTTCTGCACCGTCACTGTCAAATGAAAAGACTTAGCCTCTGGATGTGTAATAATGTATTTTTTTTCGGAGGAGGGTTGCCACTGTTTAAAAAACTATAAGATGTTCGTTGGATAAAAAAATGTAATAACAAATGAAAGTGCATGGCTTTCGCATGTACAAAAACTTTAAGTTTTTTGAGTAGGGTTGCCACCTATTTAAAATTACTATCTGCTGAACGGATTAAGACAAGATTTTTTATGTATATAATAAACGAAGTACATGATGACATATGATTTCTTCCTAGAAATACTTAAATGTACATCCGTCGCCGGCTAGTATAATATATTTGAAATGAGAAAAGACCAAAGAGAAACTGGATATGATAGAAAATCAAAAGCACTTACATATGTACGTTACTCCAAGCTGGATCAGCAGGCGCCTGGTGAGTTGCCTCGGTGTGGTGAGTTAATGCTCTTCTTAAAACTAGGTCATACATACTACATACATATTTACATGTTCGCAATTTAGCACAATTCAAGTTCAAGGTGAATGCTATTTTTTTACATTTTCGCACACGATACCGCTACGAAATGAGGAAAATTTAAGTTCAATGAGAATTCTAATTTTAGATTTTTTACAAATGATCCCGCTACGATCTTATGCACTGCCAATGACGGTGTGAAAATTGATAAAGAGGGGGATGTTAGGTCGAAACAACAATTTAGTTACTATTATTTTTCCTTTCAGTTTTTTCTTCTTCTTGATATACTATTTAATTTACATATACATACGTTTATGAGTATGGTCCTAAACTTGGATCTTAGTTCATAAATCATTTGAGTGGCCAAAAAGGATTATTTAAGTTGTTCTTTTGCTCTTTTTTCATTATCTATAATGTCGACTATCTAAATAAATATTTTTTCCCAATTTCAATATGTGATTGGTCTATTTTGACATAGAATTCCAAATAAGTCATCAAGTAGAGTCTCAGACACAATTTAAAATTGTATTAAAAATTTAATACTAAAAAAATCGCTGTTTAAAATATTAAGATCTTTTTTTCTCTAATCATAAGGAATGGATCTGCTTATAGCGCACGTAGGAAATTTATGGTATTTTGGTATGTCTCAGCTATGACCACTTGTACAACGAACATATAGCGAAGAGGGCCCACGTGGTCTGCTGAGCGTCGATCTACTCGCTACCGCAAGGATCGACCACGCTTACTAGGTGCAAGTTGGAGTTTCTGCTATTCGGTGGCTTGCTAGGAAGATTGGTGTTTGCCTTTTGCCACAATTATTATCCGCTTGCATATGCTTCCACGTGATTGTATCCATCAGCACGGTGTCTGGTGATGATAAAAATAACGGCCGTAGCCAAAGGACTTGCTACTCAAAGATCGCAATTGTTTTAAAATACGATTACCTTGCTTTTTTCTGTGTCGATACCCGGAGTTTCAGTGTACAATCTATACTTTTTAATTTTATTTGAATCGACGAATAAAACACATTATGCCGCTAATACTTAAGAGGTGTTTTACTTAACACAACTAGTCACGTTGACGATCGGGATTAAAAAGGCAGAATCTCTCTTAGCGGAAATCCAGCTTCACATTTTCTCACACATATTGACAGCCGATCCGTACTTTTCACTTCCCACCCAGGGTTATATAAAATGTCTTCACATAACAAAATTTTTAAGACATAGGCCCGTAGTCATAAAGAAGTTAGACAAATGTTTCACGATTCATTTCATTTCATTTCATTTGTTAAATGTATAACCATTAGTACAATAAGATATAATCTTTTGTAGTACAACAAATTGCTGATTTAAATATAGACAAAGAGAAAAGCATACATACATACATTTGCAAACTTAAGAATAAAAACAAGGACAAATAAATAAACTAACATTATAATTATAATCCCTAAACAATAAAGATTAAGAGTACTAAGGAATACGATAAGAAATACAAACATACAAAGATAGAAAATAAATTAAGAATGTTGATAAAGATTGATAGGCAAAGATAGATGGCCAGTCTATTCAAAACATTATTTCTTAAAATGTGCGTAAATAGATTGCTTAAAGTTGCTTCTGCTTTGACTACTTCTTACACCAGCAGGGATAGAGTTCCACAAACGTATAGCGTTGACGAAGAACAGTCTCTCTGATGCTAACGTACTAAAGTGAGGGACAATTAGATCCGTTACCCGTGCAGACCTAGTAAATACTAACTTATTAAAAAGGTAACCTGGAGATTCCATAGCAATCAGTCTATATAGAAAAACACAGTTTCGGGCTTTCAAATATTCTATTATTTCACAACCCAAGAGGCTACACTTCCACGGCGATATGTGCTCGAACCTTGTGAGACCCGTTAGGGTTACATTATTAAACAAAATATCAACCTTGCGCATCGAGTTGCTATCAAGCTTGCTGTAAACTACCTCAGCGTATGTGATTTGCGGCATTATTATTTGTAGTGCAAGCTGACGCCTTGTTCTCAGTGGAGTATAAAATCCAGACACCTTTAAATTTCTTAAGGTAGCATAAACCCTCCCAACCATTGCATTAATATGGTCTGTACAAGTCAGGTTAGAGTTTAGTATAAACCCTAAATTTTATACCTTGCTGACGATTTACAGAGGTTTGTTAGCGATGATCAGCGGCGATAAAAAGCTGAAATCTATGTTTTTCTTATTAAGTATTGGCAAAACAAGTGATTTATCACAATTGAGATGCAAACCATTGGCATTCGCCCAATTGGAAAAAACGGATAGCTCAGCATTAATATCGCCGCACTATCGATCTGCTTGCACCAGAGGAGCCGATAAGTATAGTTGAATATCGTCAGCATAGGCATGGAGATTAGCTTTTAGGCAGACCTGAAAAATGTCATTTAGAAATAGGCTAAAAAGAAGTGGGCCAAGTATAGATCCCTGAGGCACCCCAGCAGGCACCCCCTTTAGCTGAGAGAGCTCAGAACCAATTCGTACACGTTGGAGCCTGCCAAGCAAATAGCTACTGATAAGTTGCAGAGCACTTCTCCCAAATCCAAAGTATCTTTCAAGTTTAGTGCATAGTAGCGCGTGATTAACCGAGTCAAAGGCTTTAGAAAAGTCTAGTAAACAGAGCAAGGTTAAGTGATTTTTATCGAAGGGTCGCCGAATGTCATCTAGAATTTTTAATATGACAGTGCTGCAGCTATGGCTTCTTCGAAAACCTGATTGAAGTGGCGAGAGGAGATTATGTGTTTCAATATGTATCGAAATTTGTTAAGCCATAAGTGTCTCAAAGACTTTGGACAAAGCAGACAAAATACTGATTGGACGAAAATCATTTGGACAATTTGTAGAACTCTTTTTAGCGACAGGTAACACAGAACCAATTTTCCACTTATGTGGAAAACGAGAGGTTGTTACACCGTGATTTATGATGTGAGTGAGAGTTCCAAGGATAAAGGGTAGTGTAACTTTTATAAACTTTATTGGAACACCATCTTCTCCTACAGCATTAGACCTTATACCAAGAACACATCTACTCACATCATATTCGGTTACTGTAGAAAACTCAAAAGACGAACCTTCGAAACACAAGCGACTACATGGAACAAAAGTGGGGGCTACTACATTAGACACACAAGACCCAAGAAAGGCATCATTGACGTCGTCAGGTGATAGAGTGCATCGCACATTCTCCTTACTACGTACCCTAAGACTACTGATATTGCGCCACAAGACACCCGGTGGTAGATTGGAATCCAGTTTATTTGCGTAGTAAGCGCGCTTTGTGTACCTTGTAAAGGAAGTTGAATTACTCCTAGCCGACCTAAATGCATCCCAGTTCGATAAGGTGGGATTTTTCTTCCAACGTGAATGGAGCTTGTTTCGCAATTTGATGGCCGACTGAACCTTTCTATTATACCACGGGCAAGACGAACATCTAACAGGGACAGTGCGAACAGGCACATGTTTGTCGAAAGCATCTCTAAGAGTACTAACAAGGAAGTTAAGTTTGGCGTCAACTGATTGACAATGCCAGCATTCAGCCCAGTCTATTCTGCCAAGGTCCGAGAAAAGTGCATCTAAATTAATACTCCGGAAGTCCCTATACGAAAATGTCTGATCGTCACGACTCCGCTCATCATTAATGTCCAAGCAACAAAAAATTAGATCATGGTCAAATAAAAACGTGATTTGGTCAAATTTTAAAACACAGGTCAAGTCGGAAACAATAAAATAGTCAAGTAGGCGTGGACTACAATTTACCGCATATCTTGTTGGTATCACCATGTTTACCATCGAGAGCCCCGCGCATGCAACATAGTCTACGAAATTTTCACTGTAACAGTCACGCACAAAAGTATCCACATTAAAATCTCCACAAACAATGATATGATTATAATCAACAAGATAGGCAGACATGACATCAAAAAACGGACTAAGACTAACAGATTTATGCGGATTATAGACACAAGAAACAAGTGCTTTAAAATTTTTACCTGTTATCTCTACAACAAGGAATTCAGTGCCATGGCTTAAGGACATTGTTAAATTTTTCATCCGTAAATGGCTTCTGCAATAAATAGAAACTCCACCACCTCTCTTGCCGACGCTATCGTTACGTAGAAGACTGTAATTTCCTATGTCAACAGAGGAGTCACTAAGCCACGCATCAAACCACGTCTCAGATACAAAAATAACATCAATTGACGAACATTCAAACACATTCCTAACATAGTCCATCTTATCAGTATTCAAGCCACGAGCGTTGAAGTGCACTATGTTAAGGCACTTCTGACGACTACAGAGAACATTTAACTTAGCGAGACTGTTTACATCAGCGCTAGAAACCCTATATTGTACACTCATGCAAGGTGCAAGCAGAAACAACTTCACTCATAGAGAACACAGATAAAGAATTGAAAAGAATGGCCATCTTTACAAAGTAATAAACACAATAAAAGGTATAACACACGTAGTAATTATAGAACATAGATATATAACAGCAAAGAGCATTAACGAAATCGCTGCAGTTCACTCTCATTGCAAATTTTGGTTGCGGGCTCATTCGTATCATGCTGCACATGTACAAAACCCCTCCCCAATCCGAGCGATTCTAAAAAATATATATATTTTTTCCCCAGTATTAGGTACCTTTATTTTATTAAATTTATTATTATTATCTTTCCCTTTTTTTTGTTTATAGCATTACTCACAACTATTTCAAGTTAATCAAATTCTTATTGAAGTGAAACTTCTTTAGCCGCGGTTGGTTGGTTGGGAGTAAATTTGGCAAATTCAACGGAAATTGCACACGGAAATGGTGCAACGGAAGTGATGCAACGGAAATGTTGCAATGGGAATGGTGCAAAGGAAATGGTTGGGGCTGAAACAAGTGCTTCTTGTGTGTATGCATATGGTATTAATTTAACAAAAA